TCTCGCATCCCGCGGTCGAGTCAACAATTTGATCTATGCGAGGGAGAGGAAAATGATCTTTCGAGCAGGCCCAGTTGATGTGCTTGAAATCAATGCACATTCGGAGTGATTTGTCCTTCTTAGGAACCATGACGACATTAGCGAGCCACTCGTAGTGGTATATCTCTCGGATAAATCCTGCCGCCAACAGTCGAGCCACTTCCTCACCAATGGCTTTTCTCTTCTGGACGGTGGACCGTCGAAGATGCTCTTTGACTGGTTTTGCAGATGAGTCGACTCTTAGGCGATGCTCAGCCAGTCCCCTGGGAACACCTGGCATGTCAGCGGGCTTCCATGCAAAAATGTCCCAGTTCTCACGGAGGAACTGGATGAGCGCTTCTTCCTATTTTGGGTCGAGTGTTGTGGAGATGCGGGTCGGAGCTGCATCGGGGTCGGTCGGGTGAATGTGAACAGGCTTCGTCTCACCGGACGACTGAAATGCAGACTCTGTGGCGGGTTTCTTGGATCGTAGCAAGTCACTCGGATCTGCGTTTTGCTTGTACTCTTCGAACTCGACCGCTGTCACCTGGGAATCAGCAATCTTTGAGCCTTTCTGGAAGCACTCTTCTGCCTTTTTCCGGTCACCGGTGACAGTGATCACTCCCTTGGGGCCGGGCATCTTCAAAACATGGTCGAGCCATGAACCGTGCGTAAGCTGGTCTCCCCAAAATGGCATGATATGCACTCTGAAAATCCACGACCTCAAACGTCAACTTTTCTTTGCGAAAATGTTTCGAATCACCAAACACCACGTCCAGAGCTATTTGGCCGAGTGACTCGGCTTTCTTCCCTGGTATAACTCCATGAAAGCTCATGTTACTGGTGCTCAGTCGGGACATCGGAATGCCCATTCCTTTCAGTGTGTCTGCATACAACAAATTCAGCCCGCTTCCACCGTCCATCAGCACTTTTGTCAGTCGAGTGCCTTCGACAACTGGATCGACCACCAAAGCTTGCCTCCCAGGGGTGGCAATATGAGTCGGGTGATCAGATTGGTCGAATGTGATGGGTATTTGGGACCATTTCAGATAATTTGCTTTTGCTGGGGCAACCATGTTCACTTCTCGATTAATGACTTTCAATCGACTCTTGCTTTCCACATCTGCAAAGATCATCAGAGTGGAGTTGATATGCGGATATCCTTCCTCACTGTCCTCCTTGTCTTCGGCCTTGTCTGACTCATTCTCCTTGTCCTTAGACTGTTTTCCCTGAAACTGCTGGATCAGGAGTCGACATTGGCGAGTGGTATGCTTCGGGTAGATGATATTCCCTTCTTTGTCTTTCTTCGTGTGGATGTGACACGGCATATCCATCACGTCGTTCCCTTCTTTATCCTTCACCTTCTTAGGGTTCCAGGATCCTTTTGGTTTCCCTTTAAACTTTCCCTGAGTCACGGCCAGAGCCTCACCAGGAGCTGCCGGTTCAGCCTTCCGCTTCTGTTTCCGACTGGTGTTTCCTTTTTCCGACTGACTCGGCTTGTGCTTGCCGCTTCGGAGTCGGTCTTCTTCTTCGCCGTTGGCGTACTTGGTAGCAATCTCCATCATCCGACTCAAGGTCATGTCACCGGTTCGACCAAACTTCAAACTCAATTCTCTGTTCTTGACGCCATCTTTAAAGGCGCAGACTGCCTGATGATCAGACACATTCTCCACAGTATGGTGCAAAGTGATCCATCTCTGAATATACTCTCTGAGAGTCTCATTGGTCTTCTGCACGCAGACTTGCAACTCTGTCAGTCCAGCTGGTCGCTTGCAAGTTCCTTCAAACGTTCTGATGAACACTCGGGACAGATCTTCCCAAGTGTAAATGCTGCTTGGAGGTAATTGAGTCAACCATGCCCTGGCAGAACCTTCCAGCATGAGGGGCAAATGCTTCATGGCCACCTCATCGTTCCCACCACCAATCTGAACCGCCACTCGGTAGTCCTCAAGCCAAGTTTCAGGCTTGGACTCACCAGTGAACTTGCTGACTCCTGCTGCCAACCTGAAATTGGGGGGGGGGATAACTGCGGCTCTGATAGCCCTGCTGAAACATTCAGGACCAGAAACATGCACTCGACTGCTTGTGGGCGCATCTCTGTCGAGTCCACCTCGATGGGCTCTGTTCCGGTCGACCAAACCTTGCACGATAATGGATCGCGCGTCGAAGCCTGGTTCTCTGGGGTCGACTGGAACTCTTCGCCCCGCACTGAGCTGACGCCTGTCATCTTGCTGCCGAGGAGTGTAAGACCCACCCCTCGGAGGGGAATTGGGCACTCGACGCCTATCATCTCGGTCGAGTCGGTCACCATATTGGTCTCGCCGATTCTCGCGCCCTTCACGCCGCGGAGGCGATCTGGGGCTGTGAGCCAACTGAACCGTATTCGCAGCGACGGATCGACTGTGAATTCTGTTGCGCGACTGCGACACGGCTGAATTCTGATCTCCTGCTGCCCGGAGTAGATCCCTGATCTGCATCAAGCCTCTGCCAGCTTCCGACTGAGAAGACTGGATAGACTCTGCTATACGGGTCGCAGCTGCTAAATTCTGGATTGGGGTTCGATATACCTGAGTCGGCGGGAAGAGTTGACGTCGACTGTTGTCAGGAACTCGTTGTCGCGCGCGCTCGTCGAGTGCTCGCTGAAGATTCTCTAGTCGAGTGCGTTCGGCCAAGTTGGCCAAACGTGCCTCCTCCAAGGCGCGAGCCTCGGGGGTTTCTCCTGCGATGGGTGTACGCAGGGCATCCATGTTCCTGCGGCGAAGTTCCTCTCTTTGCAGAGAGTCGAGTGGCTCGGGCTGGTACTCTTCGTGGTCTCGTGCGGGGTCGCCTCCGTCGCCTGCCCCACCATCACGGGCGAAGCCAGGGGGACTGCGGGGCCCGTCGACCATCAGGATTTCCGCCGCTGGATCACTGCTATCGCACTCGGATGCAGTCTCCACGGAGCCAGTCGACAGATCGAACAGGCCGTAGAGAGATTCGTCGGGCTCGATTGCCGCAACATGAGTGGTGGCCGTCTGGCGAGCCACCGCGTGCCTCACCCACCGCTGAAGCCTCGACCGGCCCGAGCGCTTGCGCTGGCGGGAGACCGGGAGGGTGGACGATGGGGGAGTCGACCGATACGGGGTCGACGGTTGCCGCAGCAGAACGCCGCGGACACATGCGCGAAAATGCGTCGCACCGCGGACGGGGAGCGCATCAACGTCGAGTGGAGCCTCCTGGAGCCAGGCGGAGTCGTTGGCGATGAAGGTGAGAGCGCCGAGACGGATCTCTCGACCCTCGACCAAAACTCCAGCAGCCACCATGATGAAAGTACTCGGAAGAATCGCAACTTCCCCACAAAATCGCTAAAACACCTGCCCCAAGGTGGGCGCCAACTGTCGTGGTTCTAAGCCTGACAGTAGAGTGGGGGGTAGGTATGGAGAGGCAAGGTCCTAGCTATGGAGAGGTTGTAAACACAAGGGATGTACGAGTTCAGGCCCTTCTCGGAAGAAGTAATAGCCCTACGTCTCGGAGCCCGGAGGCGGTCGAGTGGATTATGTGTATATGAGTTACAAGGTGCCGAACCCCTCTACCTGTGGAGGGGGGTGGCTTATATAGAGTGCGCCAGGACCCCAGCCAGCCCACGTAGGAGAGGGTTTAAGGTGAGTTAAGTCTGGGGCGTTACTGGTAACGCCCCACATAAAGTGTCTTTACTATCATAAAGTCTACTTAATTACAGGCCGTTGCAGTGCAGAGTGCCTCTTGACCTTCTGGTGGTCGAGTGAGTCTTCGTGGTCGAGTCCTTCAAGTCAGTCGAGTGAGTCCCTCGTTGGTCGACTGGAAGGTGACCTCTTCTAAGGGTGTCCTTGGGCAAGGTACTTAGATCAGGTCCGTGACCCTACCCTAGGTACATGACCCCATCATCGACTGCTCGCCGTCCCTCTTCCAGTAGAACTTCGTCTCAGCTTGCACATGCTATGGATGTGCCCTAGTAAACGCTGCCATTGCCTCCTCGTCGCTCTCTCTGATGTTGTCCCGCTTGTCAACAACAATGCGGGTAGTCGACTTGGTCGGGCTCGACTCGATTGTCACCGGCGGCCCGACGAGCTACGCATCCGCCCGAGATTCAATCTCCAGGAAATTGAGCCTCATGCACGGGAGACCGAGCCTCCACACGGTGACGTTGGCGGCGCGGGCAACAGGTCGGCCGTCGGGGTGTAGATTAGAGTACTGCAAGGTCATAATCTAGATGAGTTTTTGGCCTTGCAACTATATGTGAGATCATGCCATGAAGTGCATTAGGTTACATGATGATTATGAACACTTTTCACAGGTCTTGATCAGCATGATGGTTTTCCTACGATATTCTCCCGTGCAACAGTGGTACACTGTAAATTTCCAAGCCACCACGCAGGTCGAGCGGCTGCCTAGGCCTTGTGTTGGCGTGGTGGTGCTGGAGGAAGAAGCGAGTGCCGAGTGCGCCGCCCCCTGACCTGACGTACCCGGCGAACGCCGCTCCACCATGCACCCTCGGCGTCGTCAGGGAGATGTCTGCCACCTCCACGGCCACGGCCCCTCCACCAGAACGCCGTCGCCGAGCTGATGCAACCCTTGGTCGGCCGCAGGTGCATCACATCGTCTCCGTCGTCCATCGCGGCGTCGACTCGCGCGCTGTTCCCGCCCTCGCCATGTCGTGCCGTGTTGGCTGTCAAAAGAAACAGCACAGTGGCAGAGACGGCAACGTGTCCGACGTAGAGTACGTGGAGTCACGGGGTTGGCCGGCTTTTGACTTTTTGACAGAACATCCGCCCGAGCCGAGCAGCGGATGGTTGACCAATTCCAACGTGGTCGTCGCGCCGACCTGACTAGCAGTAGCTTGCCTCAAAACCCACCCAATCCGCCGGAATTCCTCAGTCGGCAAAAAAAGACCCAGCACCATCGGCGCAGGCGGCCGGGCGATTTAGATTTGCTTTCCCTCCTTCGCCTCCTGCGACAGATCGGGGATGGCCGCGCGGTCGCGGGCGCGCCGCCTCCTGCCGCTGCTCACCTTCGTCGCCCTCGGCATGGTCCTAGGTGCGCGCCCTCCCCTCCCCGCTTGCCCCCTTGCTCAGCTTCCCCTCTCGCCTCGCCGTGCCTTGATCTGGGTCGGGCCATATGCTACTGCCGTGTTCCTTTTTCTCCTTCGGACCTGGAATCTCGACGCTTGGAGATTTCGCGCTCATGGTTTGGTTGATGACGCGAAATGTCCGGATGAGGAGTTTCGGGTGTTGAATGGGGCGAACTGACTGCATGCGGCTAGGCTGCTAGCCGACGCTAAATTTTACGCCTTCTGGCTCTAATGGGGGATTGCCAAAAATGAAATAAATGGACAGTGCCGGTGGCTTCATTGAGGCCGCACCTTCTGGATCGGAGTCGATTTGACTGCTCCAAGATCACTTGGAGGGAAATGAACTTACTGCGGAAGCGTGGAGCATCCTGGCATTTGTGAGGCCGTAATTAGCTTCGTGCCTGTTTGCTTCCACATGCATGCCCAGCACTCTGAGTCAAACATTGCTCTGCTCATGAATTTGGTTGGTTTTGTCATCTAGTAATACCAGCTGAACCAGCAAAGTTACATCCTCTCTTTCTTCAGAGATATTGTTAAGAAGACAATAACCACGTGGTATGATGTCCAAATCTTCGTGGTGTCTAGTTTGGCTCAGTGTGGTCCAGCCACTTTTCTGATAGTATCTCAGATTATTCTTCAGATCCGGGTCTGGAACTACATGTATATACTCTGATAATGTAATGATTGGATATGATATGCCCTTTGATTTTCTCAGATTAAATAAAGATTGCACTTGTTGCTTCAGTGGTCATATCTTAGTCTCATGTTGCTCTTTTCTCCACAAATGCTGGCTCTTTGATTCACACTTTCATTTATTAGATGTGTTGCTTCAAAAACTGTATATTGGTTTCATCCTTGCTTTTTTTTTTCCAAATGCAGGTTCCCTGCTTCAGTTAGCATTTTTCCGCCGGCTTGATGATCACTCTCGTATGTCTATCCTCTTAGAAGTTGCATTTAAGATTTAACAGTATAAATGTGTTTTCTTTCCCTGTACCTGATTCCTTTATAAGAACAGCCTGCCATTCTTGTCCATGTTATGTACTCTGCTGTTGATGACTTTGGCCACGTTGCCTTGCATCAACTTAAATATGTTATTGCTGTGTGCATCGGTGGATACAGAGGCTGCGAGGTTTAACATTCCTTTCCGGAAAAAATATATTTTCTGTAGCATTCCGTTTTGTCTTGATCAGTCATTTTTGCATTCTTAAATACCTTTTCCTTAAAAATTTAAATGTGGAACCAGAACCTGTTAAACCCTGGTATTCATTAGTTTGGGTATAATGTTGTCTCTGAGTAAATCTCGTTTCATATAGCCCTCGAGTAAAGGCATAGGCTGTACTTCTTGGTTAGTATTTGTGTGTCTAACCAAACATTAGGTGCTATGCATGGCAGATACGGGGCATTTTGATAATGATCAAGAGGCAGCAGATCTTCGACTTGGATACGTAAGTTCTGCCATTATTGATGGCTTTGGCTGTATGCCTTCTCTGTAACTTTGTACGTAGACTTCTATTTTGGCTTTTATTCTTGCAAACTACCATAGCTGAGCTCCATTCGTCTATTATTGTATTCAATGACATCATCAGTGAACTATCATGTCGCCCCAGAAATATGAAATAAATTTGTGAACTCCACATTGTCAATGTGAGTATGTTCCTTTTTCTATTTTATCTAAGTGACTAGATTTGTTTTTTTTTCTAATAAATTTTCTGCATCGGGATTTATTGAAAGCTTGCTATCCATGTGCCAGAGCCATGAGTTGGTTGCGAGATCTTATGGGTTTCACCTCTAGCCTACCCCAACTTGTTTGGGACTAAAGGCTTTGTTGTTGTTGTTGTTGTTTGTTGTTGGGATTTATTGAAAAGTTGCAGTGATGTTTGATTCATCATTTGGGTCTTGAAGCATAAGTTACATTCTTTCTTCTGGTTATCACACCATGATTTGCTTTGCTTGAAGTGTTTTTCTGTCGCACAAAAATGCCGTAGTATAAAGTTCTAATTTCTCAATACCATTCATGAATCTTTTGGGGATTTATCTATATTTTGATCAGGTGCAAATGATTGGATAACACTGGTAAGTTGTGAAATCGGAGATGCACTTGTTTTACTTTAAACTGAACTCTCTCGTGTTTTAATTTTGGAAGAACTTTCTTGTATGGACACTCTTGGTGTATGGTAATTTTATATTTGGATAAATAGCATATAGCTTGGGGTGTAGGAATTGGGACCCTGTAACACCTGGCTCTCGACTAGGGTTAGAATATTCTGAAATGTTGATGTTGTGCTTCCTTGTAAGGTTGTAACCATCTATCTCCACTTGATATGGTCAATGATGTGTGATGGGTTTTACGTTGTGCTGTCCTCTTTGGCAATCATTCAATTCATACTCAAAATGTTAAAAATGTTAAGTCCAGAGCACATCTTCTCTTCCTCTTACTAAGCAAATATTTGTGTTTATAATATGTAGGTGAAGCCTGAAGTTATCAGCTGGAAACCCCGAATAATTGTTTTCCACAACTTTCTTAGTTCAGAGGTTTGTTCCTTTCTCTGGTTGTCATACTTGGGTTTAAGCTAAATCGGTCTTCTCCACAATATTTCATTTCAAGATTTTTATTTATTGTGGTGGTAGTTTGTTTAAACCCCAAGGCATTATGCGACATGCTTCCCAGACCAATACAATGGAAAATGCACAAAATATTGCTTGACCTTTTTTTTTTGTCTAATCTCTGCAGGAGTGTGATTATCTAAGAGAAATTGCTAGACCAAGGCTCGAGATTTCTACTGTAGTTGATGTCGCAACTGGAAAAGTATGTGGTTTGGCTTTGAAGTTATAATATATTATCAGTCTTCCCAAAGCGAGTACTTTTTTCCATTTGATCAGCAGATCAGCATTGTTTCTGTTTTCTTAATCCGTATCCAGTTTATACACTTCACCACTCAGACTGAGAGGACAAATAGGAATTAGGGGGAGCATAATAACACCAAGTTCAGACCGTAAAGCTTGTCTTCTCTAGATTTATAATGCTGCAGTTGTTATGTGCCACAGGGTGTAAAGAGTGATGTTCGCACAAGTTCTGGTATGTTTGTGAACTCTGAAGAACGAAAATTTCCAGTCATTAAGGTTCGTTCACACTACTTGACTTCGACCCTAGGTTACTTACCATACTTTTTGGCCCCTTCAATACATTCACTAATGCCTTCAGCTATGTTATTTCTGCAAGAAATAACTTTGTAAGAATGTCTGTTTGTGTGTCATAATATGAGTTCACTTTTTGTCTATGTGTTGTATTATCTTGGTTGTCATTTTGTGACGCGCCGAGACAAAACGGTCCTTAATGGAACCTTATAGACTACTAGACATATGTTTGCTGCATGACTAATAAGGAGACTTGTTCTCTTCATAAGTTACATGACATAAGATTTCTACCCTAAGTTTGTTCATCTTTGTAAACAATATTATCTAGAATGGCCCACCTCCAGATTATCGTATAACTGCATTTAACTATGTATCCTGCCCTTTTATCTCTTAGGCCATAAGAAGATGATGCGTTATTGAGATTATATCCTCGGTCCTAGCTTTAAGTTGAAACTAAGGTATTGCATCCTTAGTAAAAATGGGACCAAGATTTGACGTAGGCGGAAATTTGAGAACTTTTGTCTGGATTGAAATAGAGTATCATGTTACCATGGGTGACATTATGTCAAGCTGACATGTTTATATAAATGCAAAAACCAAAACCAGGCTTTATAATATGTCAGGATGCGAAAAATGTGATCAGTGGCACATGGAACATATATAATACCATCGTTCATGACAGATATTGCAGATTATGTAGTGTTTATCTAGGTATGCCTGAATCTGAAATGTGGTTTTTGTGGAACTATTACTTTATGTATTGGATCTGAATGTTGATTTACACTGTCTAGTATATAAGGTTCCATGAACTTATCAAACACATCAGTTAAACATTACTCCTTCCGTAGTGATCTAAACGCTCTTATATTTCTTTACAGAGGGAGTACTTACTAAATTCATGTTTATATGGTCATGATGGCACTATAGTCTATACTAGGTGCAGTATATTAGTGCACTACTTAGCAATGATACATTCAGCTTTTGACTATCACTGGCAGTGTCACGGTGACCTCCTTTTACTTTGTCAAGTATTCCTACTATTGATGCCACATTGCATCCCTTTATCAGAAGTTAAATTGGAATCTGAGGCAGAGTCATTGAATACTACATTCTTCTTCTACTAACATTTGTTTTGTTCTCCCCAGGCAATAGAGAAGCGGATTTCTGTATTCTCACAGATACCTGTAGAAAATGGGGAACTCATCCAAGTATTGCGGTACTAGATTGAATTCCGACTGTAATTTTCTGAAGTTCTTTTCACTTGACTACTGTTGTAATTTCTTGTGAGAAACTACTGTTGTGAAGTTAGCTTTAAAGTTTAAACTACAGGTATGAACCAAGCCAATATTACAGGCCGCATCATGATTACTTCTCTGATACTGTAAGTCGAACTTCTTATATTGAAATATATGTTATTATGACATCACCAGACTAGTCGTTACATATTACTAGTATTATTGTTAGTCATTTCATACTTCAAACTAATTATTTCAACATGTACACTGTGGACGGTCAATCTACAGTTCAACCTCAAACGTGGGGGGCAGCGTGTTGCTACAATGTTGATGTATTTGACCGATGGAGTTGAAGGTGGTGAAACCCATTTTCCTCAGGTCAGCTGAATTTATACCAACTTGTTATGTCATATGCTTTTTGACTGATATAGACCGATATGGTGATAGCACTTTTTTTCCTTGAAAATGATGAAAATGAAAGAGTGTTGCAAGGTAGTAGACATTTGAGCTACAACAAAGAACTGTGGCGACGCGCAAAAGCCTACTCTCCTGGCATGAATGACTCCAAGTGTTCTGCACCGCTTTCACCCAAAGCCATGCCTCGGTCTTAATCGTTTGAGTAGCAAATATCGGTATAGACAAGTGTTGGTGGACACCTTGACATTATGTTCATTCCAGATCTCCCATGAAACTATTAAGTTTCATACACCGACCAGTAGAACCAAAAGTCCTAACTGATGGAGAAGGTTGGGTAATCCTAAACGTGTACAGAAAAGGGACAAGCAATTTATTTATTTAAACTACGAAAGCCAAGAGTTGAACCCAAAACCTCTTGGCTCTGATACCATATTAAGTTTCATGCACCAACTAGTAGAACTGAAAGTCCGAGCTGATGGAGAAGGTTGGGCAATCCACATATACTTCAACAGAGACAAGCCTGGCAGCCGAAAGAATTGCTTTTCTTTGTGGCCCTCTCTCCGAGGAGATAGCTAACCACCAATCTTTGACCGTCGTGACATTACTCCAAGTGTTGGTGCGAAAGTCAACCAAGCCAAGCCAGTTTTTCATAGCATATCGCGTCACTCAAGCTGGTCCACCATCCACACCCTTTTTTGGAATGTGAAGCACACGGAGATTTTTGATATTTCAGAGGAGCCCAGGTATTCCAAATAAGTGTCCATGGGAGATGCCATAACTCCTTAAAATTGAATCGTTGTACACATGTCTTTTATTATGGTTACCATTGCACGCGTTCTTTATTTTCCAGGTATGTTCAGGAAATACCGGTGGCAATGGTAGTCGTCCTTTCGTAGCATGTCCATGCATTTTTTGTTTACATAATTCACATGATATAGTATGGCGTGTGTTTCTCCAATAAATGAGTATTTCTTCTTCATGAGTATTTCTCCAATAAATGATTGTATTAGAGCATCTCTAGCAGATCCCGTAAAATCTCATACTGCAAAATTATTTTAGGGTATCCTGTAAAACGCTTTTACAGTATGGCATGTGTTCCGGCAGAACAGATCCCATAAAACTCGTTTTGGACCAGATGTGGAGCCCACTTGTCAGCAGTTAAATTTACAACATAGTCCCTGAAATATCATAAAGCACCCTGAAAACAAGACGTAGGCTGCAATTGGGTCCTAGCCACGGCCATGGCAATGGTGCCGAGCTGCTCCTAGCCAGCCTCGTGCGGCAGCTCTCCACGGCTCATGGCCAGCCTCGTGGCTAGCTAGCACTCACGGCCAGCAACGGCTAGCTAGTACGCATGAGCGCGCGGCAACGCGGCGGCTAGCTAGCACACACGCGCAGCAACGGCGGCTAAGCTAGCACACACGCGACGGCGCGTGGCGACACCATCAATGGCAGCTTCTTCGGGCGCGTGCTGTGTGTTCGCCGGCCACGGCGAGGCGCTGCATCTCGGCTGGCTCCGTTTGGATGGCGGGGGCCACGTGCGGATCGTGGCCAGCGGGGGTTCGTCGGGAATGAGATGAGGAAGGGCGGGGGCGGCGGCGGGGATGGCCGGAATCGACCTCGGGCGGTGTCGAGGATGGAAGGCGCGGGAGCTGAAAGTTCCCTTCCGCCAACTGTTTCTCGTTTTCAGTTCCCTGTAAAAATTGCCTCCAAACCTGGGTATCTAGGGTGTGAGGGCTTTTTTCTAGGGGGAGCTGTATAATTTTTACGGGACGAGGCCATTTTGCGGGATCTAGATTGGACTTTTTTTTCCGCTCAAAACTGTGAAACGACGGTTATTTTACAGTTCCAGGTCTTTTACAGGATCTGCTAGAGATGCTCTTATGTGTCTTCTTTAGAGAATTTTGCAGCTCGTTTCCCTTTGTGGTAATCTGTCAGGCTGTCTTTTGGTTTATGCAATTTGTGGTGTGGGAGGGGTGCCCTCATGCTGTGTGCTCTCTTCTGTTCCAGGCAGGAGATGGTGGTGAATGCAGTTGTGGAGGAAGGATGGTCAGAGGACTATGTGTGAAGCCAAACAAAGGAGATGCTGTGCTCTTTTGGAGCATGGTGAGTTATTCTCTCTCTAGTTTTAGACATGTACCAGCAAATCATACATCAAAAGGGTGGATCAATACAGAGTATTTCTTTCAGAGTATTTCTTTGTTATCTTGCAATCTATTTCTTAAACGATCAATTAATTGGTTGATCTGATGGTTTCCCCCTACCACCTGTTTATTTTACTGGTATGTTTCAGGGATTCGACGGTAACACAGACTCGAACAGCCTTCACAGCGGATGCGCTGTTGTGAAAGGGGAAAAGTGGTCAGCCACGAAATGGATGAGGCAAAAGATGACTTTCTGATTGCAGATAGGCATTCTGGCATATAGGCAGAATAGAGAGGGGATTCTTTTCCTTGTAATCTGTAGTACAGATATACAACATTAAAGGAATAAATAAAAAGTTGAATGATATCTTTACTAGCAGCAGGAGGCACTAATCTTCCTAAGAGGAAAAAAACATCTTGTCCAACATAATCTTTACCTTCAAATTGCATCATTTTGCATAAATGTCTTGGAGGTAGGGCTTCGCTGCATGGCACCAAACATGAGATGTTACATGCGGAGTTTCAGTAAAATGTGGGGTAAATATGGAGCAATAAGGTTTGCTAACTGGTGGTTATGAACGGAATTTATAAGTCATGGATATATAAAAATTGGTGGAATCAAGATATGAAAATGGAGTGCTCTCACAGTATTTCATAGCAATTTTTTTTTGAAACTGCATTTTTTTTTTGTTTTTGTCAGATGCGAAGGATGGGAGCCCAGGTGTTTGGGTGAAGATACAGAGTTATGTTAGACGGCCACACGCATAGACAAAAGTAGATGGACAGTAAAGCACATGTGTATAGGAAAAAATCATTTTGAAGAAAATCAGAAGAGCGAAGTGCTAACATTATACATTTACTGCAGAATGCAGACACATGTGTATAAATGCATACTGGAAATCCTAGTAGAAAAATCAGATAATCACATCTGGAAGTACAGGTACAACAAGAGATGGACAAATCGTATGCTGGACATTAGCAATTTTTATCGTCTTTCCTACTTATATAAAGATTGGAGTTGGTGATGGATTAACATATGGCTCCCAACATCCTTTCCAAATAAACAACTACATGCATCTTCATATGTGGAACTAGCAACCTTGCAAGAGACATTTAAATAAATGAACTTTACTTATATGTGAGATCTATCATAAACAAACAAACACACTACTTCCATGTGAGATCAACTTTTTTTAAAAGGTACTAATAACAAAGACAAAAAATGCGACTTCAACTCAAAATTGATCTTGGTTTTAGTTCTCTTCCCAACATACTATGGCCATTTGAAATTCTTTGGCGCTGCATGTCTCTCACCGTATTTTTGCTTTTTTTAATCATAAATCACGCAATGGACATGAAGGACACTAACATTATTTCACCATCTCTAAGCCATTGATTCTATGACAACACATGAGCATCGTGCTAGTACGATGAAAGGTCTGAAGTCTACAAAGGGCAGCTACACTAACGACTGACAACTGCTAGGAACTTGTTCCATCAGTTTCACATCCTAACTTCGACCATGCGTCACACCAAGATCTTGAAGGAAGGGCATTTCCAAGGGCAAGTGTCAAATTCAGCCGCTGTGTGTACATGGACATGTCCGTGATAGAGCCCTTGTTCTCGACAAACAGTCTGTCCAAGGCGCCCCCATTTCTCCCCTCTCCGTATGTCCAGCCATTTTTTGATCATTTTTATCCTTTTCAACCAAACTTGATGAGCACTAGAAACACATATGCTAAACATAGAAATAAAAAGTTCAAATTAAAAAATACATAATTCAAACATACAAATTATTTGTAGCATAAAATTCAAACAACATCATGGATAATCCACAAATGCTCTACCAGATTATTTAGTTGATGCACTCCTGGATCTCGAAGTTGATGACGCATCTCCAAAAAATTGTGCAGCATGTTCTGCATCTCATTTTGGGAGGTGACATGTTCTCCAGGCTTCTCAAAATCAACATTGCGTATGTCTTCACCCTCATCCTCCACAATTATGTTGTGCATGACCACACATGCAGTCATGTCTCTCATAATATCTCAAGAGCCCACATATTTGCAAGTCCACAAACAACAAGCCAACATGCCCCAAGCACTCAAAATTTCCTCTCCAGATCATTCCTAGCACCTGCATTTGGGCGAAGGGATTTATTTATTTTTACCTTGGAGCTCAGAGATAGCCTTCAAAATCGCCCCCATTTAGGATAAGATACAATCAACAAGGTAGTACATCATGGCGTAGTTGTGCCCCATTGACGATGTAGTTGCACTCCGGAACCTGCCTGCCACATAGTGTTGCAAACAATGGAGATTAGTAAGTCGCCGTGAGACCCTGCCATGCCAAAGAGTGTCAAATACACAAGTCATGTTATGCCACTGCGTCTAGTATGATGGCAAGCTCTCCGATATAATATTGGTATTGCCCTTGCAAACCTACAAGACAGTTCTTCCATTCCCAGTGAATGCAATCGAGAGAAGATAGGATACCAAGAAAGCCTCTTGCTTCTCCAAATGCTAAAAGCTTTTATGCGTCCTAGGCATTTGATTCTCTCAAGTACTCCTCTTCAAGCACCTTCACCACCGAATGTTCACCCTCTTCTATCTGAGATATCATCACAGAGATGATTCTCAAACACTAGTGATATATCGATAGACCTAGAGACAACCTCCAAACATTCACAAACTGTAAATCACAAAATGATTCCTCATTGACAACACCTACCACCTAGGATTCACCAACCTCCAAGAGTAAAAGATCAAAGGAAAAAAATAAATATAAACTTGCTTAAATCACATAAATCATAGGTCAAAAGAGAGAGGATGAGCGGATCTACGGTTGTGTGAAATTGTAGGATCGATTAAGATATGTCTACAAGAGGGGGGGGTGGGGTGACGAGGACATGTACCTAGGGTAGGGTCATAGGCCTGTCCTAGACGCCCTACCCAAGGACACTGCCCTAAAGTCAAGCACATTCAAGAGACAACAGAAGATACCGACTGAAATCACATTGGAGTGCATTCCACTCGACCAGATATACCACTCGGATATCCCAATTCCACTCGACCAAGATGCAGTCATTCGACCACACAAAGAATCACTCGGAGAACAGGAGATCTAAAGCCACCCTAGGATGGCAACAGTCAGGCGTTCACTCCGTAGTCTTAAGATCATTTATATTCCTTTATAGCTAGCCTTACCAGTAATGCCCTGTCTTAATGTACATTGAACCATGTGTAACTGAGGGCTGGAGAGGTCTGGCGCACTCTATATAAGCTACCCCCTCCTCAGGCACAGGGGTTCACACCCCCTGTAACTTTCACGCATATCCAGTCGACCAAGCCTCTGGGCACCGAGACGTAGGGCTATTACTTCCTTCGAGAAGGGCCTGAACTCGTAAACCTTGCATGCACAACCTCGCCGTAGCTAGGACCTTCCCTCCCCTACGTACCCCCTGTTCTTACTGTCAGACTTGCTTCCACGACAGTTGGCGCGAAGGAAATATGCCCTAAAGGCAATAATAAAGTTGTTATTTATATTTCCTTATATCATGATAAATGTTTATTATTCATGCTAGAATTGTATTAACCGGAAACTTAGTACATGTGTGAATACATAGACAAACAGAGTGTCACTAGTATGCCTCTACTTCACTAGCTCGTTAATCAAAGATGGTTAAGTTTCCTAGCCATTGACAAGAGTTTTCATTTGATGAACGAGATCACATCATTAGAGAATGATGTGATTGACTTGACCCATCCGTTAGCTTAGCACTATGACCGTTTACTTTATTGCTATTGCTTTCTCCATAACTTATACATGTTCCTATGACTATGAGAGTATGCAACTCCCGAATACCGGAGGAACACTTAGTGTGCTATCAAACGTCACAACGTAACTGGGTGACTATAAATATGCTCTACAGGTGTCTCCGATGGTGTTTGTTGAGTTGGCATAGATCAAGATTAGGATTTGTCACTCCATGTATCGGAGAGGTATCTCTGGGCCCTCTCGGTAATGCACATCACAATAAGCCTTGCAAGCAATGTGACTAATGAGTTAGTTGCGGGATGATGCATTACGGAACGAGTAAAGAGACTTGTCGGTAACGAGATTGAACTAGGTATTGAGATACCTACGATCGAATCTCGGGCAAGTAACATACCGATGACAAAGGGAACAACGTATGTTGTTATGCGGTTTGACCGATAAAGATCTTCGTAGAATATGTAGGAACCAATATGAGCATCCAGGTTCCGCTATTGATTATTGGCCGGAAGTGAGTCTCGGTCATGTCTACATAGTTCTCGAACCCGTAGGGTCCGCACGCTTAACGTTCCGTAATGTGCTTTGATGTACCGAAGGTAGTTCGAAGTCCCGAATGTGATCACGTACATGATGAGGAGTCTCAAAATGGTCAAGACATAAAGATCGATATATTGGAAGGCTATGTTTGGACACCGAAATGGTTCCGGATGAGTTCGGGCATTTTTTGGAGTACCAGGAGGTTACCGGAATCCCCCGGGGAGTCAATGGGCCTTATTGGGCCTTAGTGGGAGAGAGGATGAGGCGGCCAAGGTGGGGGTGCCCCCAAGCCCAATCCGAATTGGGAGGGGGGCCGGCCCCCCTTTCCTCCTCTCCTTCTCCCTCTTCCTTCTTCTCCTACTCCAACTAGGGAAAGGGGGGAAACCTACTCCTACTTGGAGTAGGACTCCCCCTTGGGCGCGCCATAGAGAGGGACGACCCTCCCCTCCTTTATATACGGGGGAGGGGGGCACCCCATAGACACACAAGTTGATTGTTTAGCCATGTGCGGTGCCCCCTCCACAGAATTTCATCTCGCTCATATCATTGTAGTGCTTAGGCGAAGCCCTGCGTCGGTAACTTCTACATCACCGTCATCACGCCGTCGTTCTGATGAAACTCTCCCTCGGCCTCAACTGGATCAAGAGTACGAAGGGACGTCACCGAGCTGAACGTGTGCAGATCGCGGAGGTGCCGTGCGTTGGGTACTTGATCGGGTTGGATCGCGAAGACGTTCGACTACATCAACCGCGTTTCATAACGCTTCCGCTTTCAGTCTACGAGGGTACGTAGACATACTCTTCCCTTCTCGTTGCTATACATCACCTAGATGGATCTTGTATGCGCGTAGGAATTTTTTTGAAATTACTGCGTTCCCCAACAGTGGCATCCGAGCCAGGTCTATGCGTAGATGTTATATGCACGAGTAGAACACAAAGGAGTTGTG